GCATACTCTCATTTGCATGACAAACAGATTGTTGTCGGCTTTCTTCGCTTTAGCTACCAGCTCTCCATCTTTCTTGAAGTTCATCGAATTCTTGTTGATCTGACAAGTCACGCCAAACTCTCCTGCAGCACCAATACTGAATAGATTCTTCTTGAATCCAGATATGAAGAACACTTTCTTCAGAGTCACTGACTGCCATTTTCCTTCCACCAAGCATTCGACTTCAACTTCACCACGACCATGGATGGATACTTGCTCACCGTTTGCCAATGAAAATTTAGTTGACGTGGATTCAAACTGTGAGAACCATTCTCGTCTTCCTGTTACATGTGCCGACGCTCCACTATCCGCTAACCATTCGTCACCAGTTCCAACGACCGCATTTACAGCAAAAATCATTGCACCACCACTTTTCTCTGTCAAATTCTGTTTTGAATCATCTTCCTCCTTGTTGGTTTCTTGCTTTACATTGAGTGCTTCCATCTTGGCCGCTGCTAAGTCATCGGCGTCTTGAGCAACCTCCTCATGTTCCAGCATGGCACAAAGCTCGCTCAATTTTTGATCAGTCTCACTCTTGTTACGCCAAATCGTTGCGACACTGCGGTATTTGGCCGGTAGTCCTTGTAACAACTTTGCCATGACTGATGTATCAGATAGTTCATCGCCTAAATCTTTACATCGACGCGCTAAATTCTTAACGTTAGCAATGTGCTTTGACATCTCCATTCCAGTCTCATACCTGTATTCATGAAAAGCTTGTGACGCCGCTAGCTTGCTTGTCGGATCCTTTTTCTCATGAGCCCGCTGCAACGTCTTCCACATATCGTGGGCGCTCTCACATGTCATGATATGATCTATTTCGGATTCTTCAATGGAGTTGCTGATTATCAATTCGGCGATTACATTCTTCGGGTTGAACGCAGCTTCTCGTACCTGAAACGCCTCTTCCGTTTCTGTCTCGATCTTGACTGGCTTTTTATCCTCAATTACAATTTTCCACACATTGTGGTTCTTCAGATGACGTTCGACGTTGAATCGCCACAGTTTGTAATTGCCAACTTTGAGCTTGGCCGCCGCCGGAAACTCAATTTTAACTATGCCAGTAGACATTCTCTCTTTGCTAATTAGAGAGACTTCTTTTCTCAATATTACACGCGAGCACCGAGTCTAACCTCTCAATGTCGCTAACCTCGTTATCGTCACTCAGTATCTATACGCAGTGAAAATGTGCTGGGCCCATAACCTGTTGGTTATTTATTAGTAAACACACACTTCCAATACACGTTTGTGTAATATAATGTAAGATGTATTTATTAGTGACAATATAAAGGAACTTAGCTTTGGTTCGAGAAAAGAACAAAAGCGTTATACTTAAAAAGCGAGGGAACTGAATATCTCAAGCGTTCTCAAAACCATACATTCTGTACCATCTAGTGGCCCTGACATACATATACATAACGCAGTGAAAATAACTAGTACCACGAACTCTATTACCAACAAATATTCCCAATTTAATTTACATAAATCAACAGTTTAAAAATATTGAAAAACAAAAAGAAAAATAATTAAAAAAAATTAAAAAGTTTTTAATAAAAGAATAAAAAGTAAGAAACCTCTTCCATTTAGGCTGGTACCTTGACGAGGTGAAGGGGCTTAATTATTGCATCAATTAATTAGATTCACTTTTGCAGTTAACCAAAGCCAGTCTTATGTATAAAAAGTGCACATGGATTTAAAGATTTAGGTTCAGAGTCCATGAGCTTGCCACTTTCTATCCTTTATTTTTTTATAATAAATTTACAATAACAAATAAGATTCGAATAGAAAAATGTTATATATATTTCTTTCATAATTTTTCCCGTAGAATCGATTGGCGTAATTAGTTTTTCAAAATTTGAAAATGTTATACAAATTGTTTAAAAAATTGTTTAAAAAAATTTTAAATTAAAAAGAAAAAACACGGGTATCTCTTTTTTAGCTCGTGTAACGAACCCACTATTTAGTTCTGCTCTATTATACCTGTGCTTGGCCTGAGCCTTAATATGTTAAGTTAAAGTCCAAAAAATATAACTTTAGGTGGCAATTTCTCATTCTTCATTTTTGATTTTCAAAATTTCGGCAGTGTGGTCAGATTCTACGATCCAAAATGCTTTATTTCTGCCAAGTTTCAAGTGATTTGGTTTAAAATTGACCGTGTAATGGATTTTTGTCCCTTACGATCCCAATTTCGACCACTGTGTGCCGTTGGTACGTGTAACCAAGAAATCAGCTGGCGCATATATAACCAAGGCACTTGGTGTCAGGCGACCATTTTTTTTGTTATCCCAACCAAGTCTTTTTCTCCGTGTGGTTCTGCAATGTACCGTGCAAATTGGGCTTTAGCAGTGAACAAATTTGGTTGCGTTTGAAAAAGGAAATCCAGAGCACTCTTTTCCGCCTTTTCAATATCCTCTGCAGAATCGCGTCCATCGTTAAGCATCATACAAACTGTGACTTTTATGGCCTCTCTTGCTTCTACGTCTTCGGCGCATAAATGTTTGTACCTCGGATCGAAAAATGAACCGATTTGTCGTGCAGTGACAGTTGAATATTCATTCCAATCCATCTCAAACCGTGTACTGAGTTCCTGGCATACCACTTCTTTGAATTTGCTGAGCAAATCATCATCCAATAAATTATGATTTAGATGATTCTCCAACAGTGAACGGACGATTGGGCGAACTATCGAGAAGGGCGAATTATTAGCACATAACACCGTGGTTGCTACCTGTAAGGGCTTGAGCACGTTGACAAAATTCTCCATAAAATGCCACTCGTGTTCTGAGATTTCCAGATTCTGAGCGACTTTTAGCTTGGTTACAGATCTGTCGGCGAGGACACTTTTCACGGGACGTCCATTCTTTAAGAGACGCTCAAGCATATCAAATGTAGAGTTCCAACGAGTAGGAACGCTTTGTACCAACTTAAGCACAGGCATCTTGAGAATCTCTTGATTTGCTTTTAGTGCTTCATTTGCTATATTTGAATGACGGAAATGTCCGATCATCTTCCTTGCTTTTTGACAAAAAGTTACTATTTCTTCGATATCCAATCCTTTGGATATCGCAAGCTGCATGGTAAGTGCTGCACATGTTGTCCCCTCATTCACTGTCAAATTTGGTAGAGTTTTGACAGCGTTCGTTATATTTATAGCGTTATCCGTAACAACAGTTGTAGTTTTTCCGTCAATCTCCCATTCATGCAGAATTTCAAGTAATTTTGCATTTATATTAATGGTCGTGTGGCGTTCTTCGACTTCCTCCGTTGTTAGCGTGTAAGATTTTACTTCCCAGTTGTTTGTTAAGAATTGACCGACCACTGTTATGTATGCATCTTGAGTTTTCGAGCTCCAGAAATCCGAAATGCACGTGACAGACGCGGCTTTGGACATCTCAAGCTTGATCTTCCCTTTCATATCGTCATACAGCAGATACAGTCTTTTCTTAAGAGTCTCCGAGCAAGGTACCTGAAATATAGAAGTAACATTTGAGTATACAAGGTATCTGAAATATGTGTACATAGTAAAGTTTTAATAATTCGTA